GAGCTGGGGCAAAACTACTTGTTACAAAGGGAATTTGTAAGATGCTTAATTAAGGTTTCTGAAATTCAAACTCTGAGCACACACAGAGGCTCAAGAGTGGTTAAGTGTTTTGCTCTGAAATTCAGCCTACCAGCCAGTCTGGCTCCAAGGCCCATCTCCTTTTGTTTGCACCAAAATGATGAAAACAAACCTGCTTTTCTCGCCTGGTAGTAGCACATTCTGGAAATCCCCTTAAATCTGCTTATATAGATATAACTCATACTTGTTAATGGTTGTATAATAATCCTCAGAATGGCTGCACTGCCAATGTATCAGTCATTCCTCAACTGATGCATACTTGCTCTGTGCCCTAACTTGCCCGATATGAATGTTTCTGTGATAAACACACTTGTACATATTTCATCATGTCCTGGGGTTCTTATTTCTCCAGGACTCACTACCATTCCATCCCTGCCCCATATACAAATCTGTCTCCGTCAACTCTTCACTTTATAAGGACCAAAAGGACCGTTTGCTAAATTTGTTGTATTGACTCAGGACAACTTAGTAATCATTGTTGTCATTTATTAAACAACAGGGGCATATCCAAACGCTTTCCAATTCTCCCTAAATAACAGCCTAAGGCTGATGGTTTTTTTGGCCTGTATCTCATAATAATTTTTATTTAGAGGAATTTGGTAGTGGTGGGGTTGGGGTGGGAGGTGGCGTGTGGACGGTGAGAATTGACAGAAACAATTTCCCTACACCAAAATACAGGTGTTTTCATTCTCTATGCCCCTAAACACCCTCCCTGCAGCTATGCAACAAGCAATTCATGGGAAGCGGCTTCCTTACATAGACCCCTGTTTTTGGTGTTTTGATTTACTTTTGTGTGTAGAGTTGATCTGTCCCTCTTCCCATTGGTGTCCTCCCCCCCACCCACCCCCAGTCCTCTTCCTTCTTCCTTCTTTTCTTCTCTTCTCCTCTGCTCTCTGAACTGCATTCCCGCTCCTTCTGATTTCTCCCTCCAGAAAGGAAAAGGGAGATGGGCCACATGAAATAGCAGAGCAGTGCCTACCCCACTCTTTGAAGTTCTCTGCATCTGAACCTCTCTCTCTTTTGAAAGCTCCACTGAGAAATTATCAGCAGGCGAAGTCCAAACCCAAGCACACAAAGTTGTTGTTGTCCCATTTTAAACCAACTCCCATGCATGTACAGCTAGGAGCATTGAGAGCAGAGTCTCAATGAGGACATTGAGGCTGGTGATGAAAAGCCTTGGCGAGAAGTTTAGACACGTTTGGACATGCAAGGCCTTAGAGAGGAGTCCTGTTCACTGTCCAGTCCTTCTGAATCTCCTTTGCTGGCTTGTGTTCCCCACCCAACTTCTAAATGTCAGATTATCTCAGGGAGTAGCCCTGTACCTTCTTCTCCTGGCTATACTCTCTCTGGGTGATCCTATTCAGTTTTGTGACTTTAAACCCTAACTGTGTCCTGTTGTCTCAACAATTCTGTTTCTCCAGCCTCTATGGATGACAAGCAGACTTCAGTAACTAAACCTGTGCAAATAGGAGTTCTTGACACACACACCCATCTATCTTTCTGCCTTCTCCAAATCTACCATGCCCACTCTCTGTCTTTCCTATGACCGTACATAGACCTCTGATGAGGATGTCCAAGAAAACACTCTTGTAGTAATCGTTCATTTCTTAAGTTTGTTCCCTGGTTGCCTCTAATCCACTCGCAAGTGCTGTCTCTTCCACTTCCAAAACATCATGTGAATCCATGCACTAGTCTCCACATTGAGGCTTCCAGTCTGGGACAAGCCCCTGCTGTCTCTGGACTGGACTACTGCAAGAGCCTCCTAACTGGTCTCCCTGCTTTCCTTTGTGCCCTGCCCACTTGTGATATTGCCCACACAGAAGGGCTAGAGAGAAACCACTCAATAAGCATTAGATTATGCTACTACCTGCTTCAATCCTCTCTCTGGCTCTCCTGAGCCCTCTGAAGAAGAACCAGACTCTTCATCATGGCACCACCCACCACTGCACCTTCCTCCCTTTCTTTCCTCTATCCCCTCTCACACTGGGCTCCATGCAACATTGGCACCCTTTCTGCCCCTACTCCCACCCCCAGCACCCTCTCTTTTCTGCCACAGGGCCAGGGGAATTGCTGTTCCCTCTGCTGGGCAGGTTTCCCCCTTGGTTCCTTGAAAGACTGGCGGCTTATCATTGTCCTCAGAAAGGCCTTCCCTGAGCTTCGTGTCTCCCGTTTTGCCACTTTTCTGGGGTTCTAGGCAATATGTACCAAATCACCTTGTTTATATGCCCGAGAGCATTCACAGCAACCTTTAACTGTTTTCATATTCCCTCATCTGTCCATTGTCTGTCTCCCCACTAGAAAATGAGCTCCCTGAGTGCAGGGACAGTCTGGCTGGCAGAATACTCGGTACATAGAAGACCCTCCAGGAATATTTCTTGAATCACTGAATAAATAAAATCAGCAGCACTTCCTCCCACAGGAAAGGAAACTTCCCCTCCCTCTGTTGAGGCTCCACAGGGTTCTTTATTTTTGCCCCTGTCACAGTGTGTAGTGGTCAGAACACATTCCATTTGCAGGTGGCAGAAACTGACCACAAAGTAACTTTAAAAATAAAAAACAAAAAGGAGGTGGAAACTCGACTCCATGGAAGCCCCTGAGAAAGGACTTGGGGAGCAGTCCCAGATGTGTCCTTGTCTCTTTGGTAGCCCTGTTGCTGTTGCTAGAGCTTCAGGATCCTAGGAATTGTTTTCAGGTTTGGGGATTTGCTAGCCATAGCATGACTTCCCTGAACTTCCTTCTCCTGCTGTTTCACCGATTTCTGTTGGCTCTGTGTACTGGAAGCCAACACCAGAGAAGGAGATCTTGTTGAGTCCTGGTCCTCGACTTGGTCTTCCTTGTCATTTCTGTTTCCTAACAATGGGCCGAGAAGCTCTTCTCATCCTCGCCACATCCCCTACCCCTCTGCGAGCATGGCTTCCCCCTTGGCCTCTGCCTTCTCAGGTCCCTCTTGGACACCAACCTGGAAATGGTGAGGCACAGCTTCATCTGTTCCCTGCCTGCAAGCAACCTAGACCCCCAGGAGATGGCTCTTAACAGCAGTGACAGTGATCACCTTGGTCAGGCATGCGCTGTACAGCAGGCTTTTCCTAGGTCTCTGTCCCTTGCCTTTGCTGGCTCTAGCCCTGCCTACAGGCAGAGAGCTGGACTTTGCAAGCTGGAGAGGTACATGTCTGTGTATCTGCTTCTCAGCCACCTTGGGATGCTTTCCAGCCAGCGATGAAGAGTTCTCACTGCCTCGCACCCCACAGTGACTCAGTCACTTCCTCAGGTTCACGGTTGTTCTATCATGTATGACGGCCAAGATCCAGCCATCACTGCAACCACAGAACACAGCTTTACTTACCCAAACATGGCAGAGGAGGAGAGGATGAGAGAATATGTGCCAGGCAGGTGAAATTCCATGGCCACCATAGTCCAATCACATAGCACTTACAGTCCTCTGCTGACACTTCTGTTTTCTGTGGGGGCAGGCTGAGCTTTAGCAGAGTGCAGGCATCCTGAGGGAAGGCACTATGGTTTTCTCTTTTTAAATATCTGGCCCCACTGGCTCACGGTAAATGTGAGACCCCTATTTATGGAATGAAAAGGGACAGAGGGAAGGATTGTTCAGACTCTTTTTGAATTGGTCACATCTGACTTTCTTCCTTGTGTTCTGTCAGCCCTGTCTTGGTTTTGTACGTGCGTGTACGTGTAAATGTGCACTTATACATGCACATTGATGTTTAATTTGTACTCATTCTAAAGTTCTGATCATACTGCTTCCCTCCTTGAACATGCTGAGTGGTCCCTGTGACCTTGGGTATACAGTCGAAGCACCTTAGCTTGACTCTCAGGGTCCCACACCTTCCAGCCCTGTCTGCTACCATGTACTCTTGGAGACCATGAGCTCTGGCCCTGCCAGATTATTAGGCATGGCCAGAATGCCTTCCTTCCTGCCTTGACATGGTGGACTGCTCCCCATGTTTCAGAGCCCACCTCGGGGTTTCTGCCTTTGGTGCAGCCTCACTTAATTGCTACCAAGAAGAGTTAGGGGTTGGTTCTCCTCTCTGGAGGAAGTGGGACTGTAGCTTCTGTTACACTCAGCTCTCATGGTGGCTCCCTTGTCTATACGCCCAGCATCTGGCTCTGTGTGGCCTCTCTGCTCTCACCACACACACACTGCTCACCTCTTCTCACCCTGCTCTACACCTCCAACACATCGACACTCCCTGCTCACTTAACATATTGTGGGCCCCTTAGCCCCCAGTACCAAGTACCTGATAAGCTTTCCATAAATATTAGCTGGTGATCTGGGACCAGGCACTTCATTCTAGAGAGAGAGCTCAGGTTTTGTTTTGGTTTATCTTTTGAACCTGAATATGTACTTCTTGGTCCAGGTTGGGAACCTCAGCGCCTTGAGAGCAGAGCCAAGAATAAACAAGTGCCTGGCTCTGGACCAGGCCCTGTTCCCAGCCCTGGGTTTGGCTTTCCTCACCTTATCATTGAGGACAGTACTAGAGACAGGGTGCTCTTGATTCCCCCACTTCCAGACTGCATGTCCCGAGGCCTTGAGTGTATCCTCAAGGCCACCCCAGCCTCTCCTGCAAGGTACTTGATTTAATCATTTAAACGTTCCATTATGTGGAGAGAGGGGATACCAATAACGCTCCCTTCCGAATCGAACCCTTATCCCTTCGGTCTACAGCGCAGCCCTTTCCCTGGCGCCCTTTTCATAAATATCCAGGCGACCTGAGTGGCTGAGCACTCCCGCCCCTGCTCCCGACCCCGCTCCCGCCCCTGCTCCCTCTCCTGCCGGCGTCCTCTCCCACCGCTCGCGGCCCCGCGGCCCCGCGGCCCCCGCAGCCCCGCAGCCCCGCAGCCCCGCAGCAGCCACAGGGGGAACCAAAGAGACAGAAGCCTTCCCAGCTGCCCGGACGACAGACGCCAACACCCCCCGCCCCCCACCACACGCCGCCCGCCCGCCCGCCCGCGCCCCGCACCCTGCGCGCTAGCCCACGACCGAGCGGCGGCGGCAACAGCAGCTGGCTGCAGGCTGCTGCGACTCGCACCGGCGCGCTCCTGGCAACACCTGCCATCCCAGGTGACTTGAACTCGCCAGTTCGGATCCCCTGCGCCAGCTCCCGCTTGCGCATCGGGTCTGGGTTCCGGCACCCACCGGCCCTCCTGCCCTCCCCCGCCTCTCCGTCCCCCAGCTCGCGGGAAGGGAGGTCGCGGCAGCGGCCCGGCGGCAGCGGCGACCGTGGCGACAGCAGCGACAGTGGCGGCGGCGGTGGCGGCAGCGGCTGCGGCGGCGGCGGAGGCTGCGGCGGCGACCGTGGCAGAGGCCGTGGCGGAGGCCTCCGTGGCGGAGGCGGAAGCAGAGGTGGAGGCTGAGGTGGAGGCCGAGGCCTCAATAGAGGAGGCAGCATCCGAGGCCACCCTGGGGGAGGCGGAGGCCGCCCGGGCGGCAACGGCGGTGGCGGTGGCGGAGGGCAGCGCGGCCGAAGCCGCCGCCGCAGCGGAGGCTGCAGGGACCCCCTTGGGGGAGGCGGATGCCGATGCGGATGCGGATGCGGATGCGGCTGCGAATGAGGGGGTGGCGGCCGCTGTGGCGTCTGCGGCTGCCGCCGCGGATGCAGATGCGGATGCTGAGACCCGCGGGGCCTGTGAGGGGAACCCAGATTTTCCGATGGCCTCCCTTTACGTGGGCGACCTGCACCCTGAGGTGACCGAGGCAATGCTGTACGAGAAATTCAGTCCAGCTGGGCCCATCCTCTCCATCCGCATCTGCAGGGACAAGATCACCCGCCGCTCATTGGGCTACGCATATGTCAACTACCAGCAACCGGTGGACGCCAAGCGGGCCCTGGAGACCCTGAACTTTGATGTCATAAAGGGCAGGCCAGTGCGCATCATGTGGTCCCAGAGGGACCCGTCGCTCCGCAAGAGCGGGGTGGGCAACGTCTTCATCAAGAACCTGGGCAAGACCATCGACAACAAGGCGCTGTACAACATCTTCTCGGCGTTCGGCAACATCCTTTCCTGCAAAGTGGCCTGTGACGAAAAGGGGCCCAAGGGCTACGGGTTCGTGCACTTCCAAAAGCAGGAATCCGCGGAGCGGGCCATCGACGTGATGAATGGCATGTTCCTGAACTACCGCAAAATTTTCGTCGGGAGATTCAAGTCGCATAAAGAACGAGAGGCCGAAAGGGGAGCCTGGGCCAGGCAGTCCACTAGTGCTGACGTCAAGGATTTCGAGGAAGACACCGACGAGGAGGCCACCTTGCGATGAAGACATCCCAGGAGCTAGCCAGCCAGCAGAGCCAAACCTTGGTTCAAACCCGGTTTACAACCCCCCACCCCCAGCCCTCCCCCGCCAACCCACCAGCAGTGTATTTATTGTGTTGGGAGTGCAGGTCTCTCTCTCTCTCCCTCTCTCTTTCCCCCCCCCCTTCCTATTTTCTCTCTCCACCTCTCCTCTCCTTCCCTTCCTCTCCCCCGCCCACCCCTACCAAGGGCGTTGTGAATAATCTTACTAATCTGTGCCATTTGTAGGTTAAAGGCTGCCTCTCCTCCCTGTGGTTTGGTTTAAAAAGCATTTTCATTCTCTCTTTGTTTACTGCACAGGTGATACCATTTCATGGTAGAAACATCAGAAAGGAGAAGGATGTTAGATGAGGGAAGAAACAAGAGAGTAATTGCTCCCCTGGTCCTACTCCCCAGAGAGAACCACTTTTACCTTTTTGGTGTGCTGCTTTTCCAGGCTCTCTTCTCTCCCTCTCTCTCCTTTGCTCACCCCCACCCCGCCTTCCCTTTTAACACACTGTTATAGAATGGTTCATGTATGTAGTGTTTCTTAACCTGCTTTTTCAGCAACTAAAACCAAACAAAAATCAACCCATTGAACTTCTTTCCATGTTATCAACAGGCTTATGAAACGTCATCTTCAGTGCCTGCAGAGTGCTCCAGTGTATCCGTGGACCTTAACATTTCTGTAATCATTCCCACATTGTTGGACATTCAGGTGGTGCCTAGTTCTTTCCCTGTGTTTAAGACCAACATTGCGTGCTCTGTGCTTTGATGAGTGAATCCTTCCTTGTCAAGCCAAATCTTTGCCAGCATCCCGGTGGGGTGGTCTCCTTAACTGTGGACTTGCAAGATCCACATAGAGACATTTTAAAGACTTTTCCTGTGTGTTGCCAAAAGGCCCCCTTCATAAGCATTGTACCGATTTGCACTCGTGCCGGCCAGCGCAGCTAGTAAAGAGTATGCCCGTTTCCCCTGCATAGTCTCTTGGTCACCGTAATTGATGGTATGTGTGTGTGCATGTGTGCGTGTGTGCCTCTGTGTGTGTGTGTGCGCGCATGTGTGTGTGTTTTGGCCAGCTTGGCAAGCTGCAAAGGGTATTTCGCTGTCCTCGGTGGTTTTGCTGGAATCAAGCACTGCTTATGACCCCATGCCCTGTGCCCAATTGCTGTCCTTTTCCCTGTTGTCAGAAAAGTAATTCAGCGTCATTGCAGGAAAAAAAAATAGTCACAAAGCAGACAAGTCACCAGAAGAAAATTAAAGTCACCGGTAATCATTTCTGATGATTACACACACATTCCAGAAACATTTTCGTGCACACCTCTCCGAGATTTTCAAGAACTACCTGAAACATTTTTGTCCGTAGGTCTAGTTTTTTTCTTATGCATATATCATATATGTATATTATGGTGTACAGACCGTTTTTATATCTGCTTTTCACACGTAAATGTGTGTGTATTTATACATATGCATACTCTTGAACTTCATTTCATGTCATTAAAGATGCTTTTAAAATATTTTCTCTGGCTCTTAATATTCTATTGAATTCATGACTAGGTAGAAGGTTAGATATATATGTGTACCTATGTATCTATGTCTATATCTCTGTGTGTTTGTGTGTCTTATGTATGTTTTATTTTAACTCTTTTCTCGTTGTTGAACATCTAGGTTGTTTCTGTTTTTCCTTTATGTAATCTAAAGCTGCCATGAAGTTCCTAGTGCACAAAGCATGCTGACTTTCAAGATTATTTCCTGATGAGTCATTGCTAAAAGTAGAATTCATGTGTCAAAGTATATGGGCAGTTTGAGTGTTTTTTGGAGGGGAGGAAGAATGTGTTATTCAATGGCCATCTGTAATTATACTACAAGTTCATCTTCATGAGGTGCATCAGTGTTGTTACAGGACCCAGATACCTGGATGATTTTCTGCACTTGCTATTACATTTGTTTCTGCAATTCACCAGTATTTTCTCAGGGACATAGGAACTTTTTTGTTTTTATTTATGTTATACATTTATTTTTATACAAATTGTACAAAATTATAATAGAAACTATTTTTTAAAATTGCTAATGTAAGAAAAGAAAGTTGAAATCCTAATACTCCTCCTAATACCACTACTTGACAAAATAAATTTTCATTAATAGGTATCTACCTACCTTTATAACACAATATGCATTGTTTCGTTAGAGGGTGTTTCACTATTAAAATTATCCGGGATCATCTCTGTAAATCATTAAATATTGTCCTGCAATTCTGTTGTTACATATATTATGTCATTGGGATAAGCTATGATTTCTGCAACCAAGTATCCTTTGGGGCTATGTTTAAAAAGATTCTGATTTTTTTCCCTTGTAAGATCAATTCTATGATGAACAACTTTTTACCTGAATGTCTAGGTATATTTTACTGTTTTTTATTCCTTACTAGTGGAATTACAGAGTAATAGACATGAACATGTTAAATATTTTTCTTGGTCTTTGTATCCACTAGTTTATATCCACTACAGTGGTGGATATAAACATGTAGAAAAGTGCATGTATCACATCTCATCTTCTTAAATTGATCAAAGTATTTTTAAGGTTTTGTTAAGCTGAAAAAGCTTACCAATTTTTCTATTATTTCATTTTATAAGCATTTTTAAAGACAGAGATCTAGTACATTAAAATATAGATCAAAACCACTTTAGATTTTTTTTGTACAGGCTGCTACTATCCATCCATAAGCATTTAAAACCAATTATAGAATTATACTGAGCATATTTTGCCGTGATTTGTTTTTCAGTATCTTGCAACATCTAAAACATCCATGGCTATTCAGTTTTCTCCTGAAACAATCATTGTGTAAGACTGGAATTTTATTTAGGAGTTTACCTATTAAGGATATTAAAGTAGTTATTAAGATTTCCCCCATTAAACCCAAGGTATGATGAACCATTTTGCAGTTGAATTGCCTCCCTCTCCTAGGGCAAAGCATTTGATATTCCTTTGCTTTGCACGGGGTGTAAATGAACAATTAAAAAATTAAGACAAGCATCAGAAATAATGATTTTAAAAGAACAAAAAGGAGCACCTTTTAAAAACCACTTAGAAATAAAACAGTTTTACAAACTCTGTAAAGTGAATAAAACAGAGCCCCTGCCTTGGTGGAAGAAACAAGCTAATTTATGATGTTTAATACTTTGATGCAGACCCTTCATTCAGTTCAAAGCAACTTTGACAATTTGGCAAAGCTGAAAAACAAAGAAACCCTTGTTTTAGGGTTTATTCTTGTAATAGCAATAAGGATTGCTATTATTTCTTAATGTAAGTTATATGTTAAAATACATCTGTTACTTTATTTGTTTAGCCCATCACAGAAGGGGTTCGGAAATAACCCTCTATGCACCAAAGCTAACAGCTACTGGTATGACACAAAGGGTCCATGTTCAGTACACAGAGAGATCTGTCCTTAGCTTTAATCCAATCAGAACAAAATTATTCTTATCATCACTGGGAAAATAAGCTAAGAGTAATGCAAGAGAGAGAGAGGCAAATCAGTTTGTCAATTCTACAAAGAAGACAGCTGGAATTCTGATGAGGATTGTGTGGAATATATAGATCGATTTGTGTACTATTATCACATTAAAAATACTGTTTTCCAATTTATGAACATGGAATGTTTTTTGTATAGAACATTTTTCTTTCAACAACGATTTGTAGTTTTCAGAGTAGCAGTTCGCAATTACTGGGTTCAATTTTTTAAGTATTTAACTCTTTTGATGCTATTGTAAAAATAATTGATTTCTTAATTTCAGTTTTGGTTTGCTCATTGCTACTGTATAGAAATATAATAGATTTCTGTATATTGACCTTGTGTCCTGCAACATTGCTGAAGTCATTTATTAGTTCTAATATATATTTGGTGAATTTTCTAGGATTTTCTATATAAAATCATGTTATTACAAAGCTATAGTAATCAAAACAGTTTGATAGTGGCATAGAAACAGACACATAGACCAGTGGAACAGAATAGACAGCTCAGGAAAAAAAACCTAGGCATATATGGTCAACTAATCTTCAATAAAGGCACAAAAGATACACAACAGAAAAAGGATAGCCTCTCCAATAAATGGTGTTGGGAAAACTGGATATCTGAATGCAAAAAACAACAACAACAACAACAACAACAACAACAACTTGGATGCTTATGTTACACCATACAGAAAAATCAACTCAAAATACATTAAAGGTTTAAACATAAGACATGAATCCATAAAACTCTCAGAAGAAAACATAGAGGGAAAGTTGCTTTGGTCTTGGTAATGATTTCACGAACATGACACCTAAAGCACAGACAATAAAAGCAAAAATAAACAAGTGGGAATACTTCACATTAATAAGTTTCTAAGCAGCATAAAATCAAAGACTGAAAAGGCAACCTAAGGAATGAAAAAAAATTGGAAAACATATCCAATAAGGGGTTAAAATCCAAAATACATAAGCAACTCACACAATTCAATGGCATCAAAAAACAAAAACAAAAACAAAAACAAAACAACCTGAATTAAAAATTGGCAAAAGACCTAAATGGACATTTTTCCAAGGAAGATTTATAAATCACCAACAAGTACATGTAAAGGTGCTCAACATCACTAATCATCAGCATCAGGGAGATGCAAGTCAAATTCACAATGAGATAACACCTCACACCTTTAGGATGTCTATTATCAAAAAGGGAAATGATAGCAAATGTTGGCAAGGATGTGGATAAAAGAGAATCCTTACACATTGTTGGTAAGAATGAAAATGGGTGCAACCATTATGGAAAACAGTATGTAGTTTTCTGAAAAAATTAAAAGTAGAACTACCATATAATCCAGAAGTCTCACTTCTGAGAATATATCCAAAGGAAAGAAAATCACTATCTGGAGGAGGCATCTACAGTGCCATGTTAATTGCAGCATTATTCATGATAGACAAAATATAGAAACAACGTAAGTGTCCATCAGCAAAAGAATAAAGAAAATGTGGTGTTTATACACATGGAATATTACTCAGCCTATGAAAGAAGGGAAGTCTGTTTTTTGTGACAACATGGATGAACCTGAAACACATTATGCTATGTGAAATAATTCAGACACTAAAAGACAAATACTGCATGTTCTCACTTATATGTGGAATCTAAAAAAATGAACTCATAGAAATAGAGAGAAGGGTGGTTACCAGGGGTTGGTGGCGGGGTTGGGGGAAATGGGAAGATGTTGGTCAAAGAGTACAAATTTGCAGTTATGAGGTGAGTAAGTTCTGGAGACCTAATGTACAGCATGGTGACTATAGTTCATAATAATCTATAGTATACTCAAAATTTTCTCAGATAGTAGATCTTAAGTATTCTCACCACAAAATAAAAATTGTGTGAGGTGATGAGCATGTTAATAAGCTTGATTGTGGTAAACATTTCACAACACATACACCTATCAAAACAACAGCTAGTACACCTTGAATATGTAAAACTTTATTTCACAATCATATCTCAATTAAGTGAAAAAAGATCACATCACCTGTGAATATAAGTAATTTTAATTCTTTCTTTCCAGTCTGGCTGCGTGTTATTTCATTTTCTTGCCTAATGACCTTAGCTAGAACGTCCAAATATGATGTTAAATAAAAGTGGTAAAAATGAATATCCATGTCTTGTTCCTAATGTTGGAGGAAAAGTACTAAGTTTTTCACCATTAAGTATGATGCTTACTGTGGGGTTTCTGTAGATCATTTTTTCAGACTGAGGAAGTACTCATCTATTCCTGAATTATTGAGTGTTATAAAAGAGTTTTAGATTTTACCAAATGTTTTTTCTGGATCTGCTGAGATAATCCTTGTGAGTTTTTTCCCCCATTGTTCTAATTATCTGGTATATAACATTAAGTAATTTTCAGATATAAAAACAATGTATAACTCCTTGGATAAATTCTGTTTGGTAATGGATAATCGTCTTTATGTATTATTGAATTCAGTTCACTAGTATTTTTAATGTAAACATTATTGTGGTAAGGTATGTTCAGTGGTATTAAATACACTCACAATGCTGTGCAACATTCACTACTACACATCTCCCAAACTGTTTCATCATCTCAAACTGAAACTCTGTGCCGACTAAAAAGTAACTAACTATTCCGTATTCCTCCCTTGCCCCAGCCCCTGGTAAACACTATTCTGCCATTCTGTCTGTAAAAATGGACAATTCTAGGTGGGTCATACAAATGGAATCACACAATATCTGTTCTTTTGTGTCTGACTTGTGTCACTTAGCATAACATCTTCAAGGTTCCTCCATATTGTAGCATTCATCAGAATTTCATTTTTTAAGGTGAAAGAATATTTTGTTGTATGTATGTACCACATTTTATGAGAAAGTGTTTTTAATTGTGGTGAGATCACAAAACGTGAGTTCTGCTCTCTTAACAAAAAGTTTAAATGTACAATACATTATTGTCGACTATAGATACGATGCTATCCAAGCATATCTCAAGAGCTTATT